GATGCTGGGAAAGATTGAAGGGTGTGAAGGGGGTAGCAGAGGATGAGATGGTTGGATAGAATCACCGAATCAATGGACATGAGTTTGAGCAAACCTGGCATGCTACAGTCCATGGGGTTGCAAAGAGTCAGACATGACTTATGGACTGAACAACAACAAAATCAGTTCTGAAATGAACAGCAGGTGCCCTGTTCATTTAAAACAGAGGCTGTGAACAGGCGTCTAGGAGATGCTGGTATTGTGGTAAAGGAGAATTAATGACAACACAACAGAAAGTGATATGACAAAGTCAGAATGTGTCAGAAGTTGTGCCCTCAAAGGCTTATACCTGGAGTGGCAAACAGAATTATCTAAACTATTTACAAGTTTGGCAGATCTCTTCGTGTTGGATTCTGATCTCCTTCAGTAGCCTGGTGGCATAGTGGAGAGAGTTCATTGGGGAAGACTGGGCTTTAGCACCTCCAAATATTAATAAAAGAGAATAAAAGGAATAAGCTATTCAGGTGTAACTGCAGACCTTCATCATACTGTGAGCCAGAGGGGACAATATTAATGCTTATTGATGAGAGCTTCGTGTTGCTAACTTGAATGCCTATTTTACAGACAGTATATTTATAGTATGACATTTATAGTATCTCCTAATGTAATGAGCTTTATGAGTCATGTATTTCTTCCAAGTTCTGTTTGCACAACAAACTTCTGGCTGTATTTGAGATGTGGTGGCCAACTGAAGCAGGCACTGTTGATGCCTAATATCGCCTAGACTCACCTTGGAGCTCACCTGCAGCTGTGCGTGGTAAGCAGCTTCCAGTATGGTTGCAGCTTCCCACTTCGAATGCTGGCTTCCCCACCTGAGGGCTGTCTGAAGCATCAGGCGAATCTGCTGAACCATGAACAGGAGCAACTCAAAGGATAAGACAGTCAATGCCTCAGAAACAACTCCTGACAATGGGGGAAGGAAGAATGGTGGATGACTGCCCCAGCCTCCCAGCCCGTGCTGGAACAATTCTGAGATGACCTGTACAGTTCTTCAGAGGGTAATCAGAACAACTGAGCTCTAATCATGCACTGTGCTAATCCACTCAATAATGACTCCTCTCTGGACTTCCCATGGTGGCCCAGTGGTTCAGACTCTACTTGCCCATGTAGGGGACATGGGTTTGATCCCTGATGCAAGAAGATTCAATTCGGACAAACACCCCTTGTGAGAAGAGTAGGAACCTCTAAGGAGAGTGTTTTATGTGAACCATCCACCTCAGGAACCATACATTGCACTCTCTGACTCCTTGTCCACATTTCAGCACACAGACTTCTAGCCCACATTCAGGAGGCATTTTGACCAGAAGAGAAAACCAGACCGGTGGGTGTTGCTATCCATGAATTTGAATTACGAAGACTCCTGATCCAGGATGAAATGAAAGCTTTGCTGTGTGCACCCTGCCTGATATTTGCCTTAATTTTCAGGTACGTTTTGTCTCTAGCTGAACCAAACATTTAGTCCCACTCATAGAGAGGTCCACTGGTTACTTACACCACTTACCTACGCCATCTCCCATGGCTCCTAGATGAGCCCGAAGCCAGCTCCAGTAGCTTAACTGGCCCCATGGGTGTTGCTGTCCATGGTTCTGATAGAACGAGTATGCCCCTGCATTGACACCTGTTTTGCCGTCTGTGGTGCTGCATAACGGTTCTTTTTTCATGCTCAGGAAGATGCTGCACATTTAAAGAGCAGATTTTTGAGACACAGACTAAAATTCAACTAGACTAAAATTCAACTATAAACATGAGATTTTGGTTCTTGTTGATGTACTACAGGGGCTTCACGAGTGGTGCTGTCGAATGAAGGAGATGTTAAAGATGCAGGTTTGATCCCTGGGTTGGGAAGATCCCCTGGTGGGGGCCACGGCAACCCACTCCAGCACTGTTGCCTTGGGAATCCCAGGGGCAGAGGAGCCTGGAGGGCCACAGTCCATAGGGCTGCAAAGAGGCGAACACGACTGAAGTGATTCCACACAATGTGTTACAGGATTTAAGACTCTGGCCTGTGTGTCCCCATGCATGCTGAAGAGTCAATATTTTCTTGTCCCATATTCTCAGAACAGGTTTTAGGATTTAGCACAGCTGATGGAAAAGAGCGGAACTAAATAAAGAGAAACCAGGGCTGTAGCTTGCAGGCTATTAATCACACCAGGGGAACCACTATTCCTCTGGCAATCCCTGGCTTGGAACTGTCCTCTTTTTGACTTCCCATGTCCTTTCTAGCAGAAAGTCCTGTGGAGTCTATCTTCTAAACAGCTCTTGGATTAGGCTGCTTCATCACCTCCACCAACACTCCCATGACAGTGATGACCATCACACTACCATCACCACCCCCACTCTCCTGCTCTACTTACCACCACTTCTTGTTGGGATCATCCCTCTAGGATAAAAACTTCCAAGGGGAATAACTAAGTGGAAGTATAGGTATGTTGTTTAAGGATTTGATAGCTGTACCAAGAAGCATTTCCACCAACCTCATAAAAGAGGGCCAGAGCCACTTCTAGGTGGCAAAAGCGCTACCAGCAATACAGTTCAATTAAAAATCAACCAAAAGGAATACTGCTGCGACTGCGCGCTTCAGTCATGTCCGACTCTGCGCGATCCCATAGACAGCAGCCCACCAGGCTTCCTCGTCCCTGGGATTCTCCAAGCAAGAACAGTGGAGTGGATTGCCATCTCCTTCTCCAATGCATGAAAGTGAAAAGGGAAAGTGAAGTCGCTCAGTCGTGGCCGACTCTTAAACTTACCTACGCCATCTCCCATGGCTCCTAGATGAGCCCGAAGCCAGCTCCAGTAGCTTAACTGGCCCCATGGGTGTTGCTGTCCATGGTTCTGATAGAACGAGTATGCCCCTGCATTGACACCTGTTTTGCCGTCTGTGGTGCTGCATAACGGTTCTTTTTTCATGCTCAGGAAGATGCTGCACATTTAAAGAGCAGATTTTTGAGACACAGACTAAAATTCAACTAGACTAAAATTCAACTATAAACATGAGATTTTGGTTCTTGTTGATGTACTACAGGGGCTTCGCAGGTGGTGCTGTCGAATGAAGGAGATGTTAAAGATGCAGGTTTGATCCCTGGGTTGGGAAGATCCCCTGGTGGGGGCCACGGCAACCCACTCCAGCACTGTTGCCTTGGGAATCCCAGGGGCAGAGGAGCCTGGAGGGCCACAGTCCATAGGGCTGCAAAGAGGCGAACACGACTGAAGTGATTCCACACAATGTGTTACAGGATTTAGGACTCTGGCCTGTGTGTCCCCATGCATGCTGAAGAGTCAATATTTCCTTGTCCCATATTCTCAGAACAGGTTTTAGGATTTAGCACAGCTGATGGAAAAGAGCGGAACTAAATAAAGAGAAACCAGGGCTGTAGCTTGCAGGCTATTAATCACACCAGGGGAACCACTATTCCTCTGGCAATCCCTGGCTTGGAACTGTCCTCTTTTTGACTTCCCATGTCCTTTCTAGCAGAAAGTCCTGTAGAGTCTATCTTCTAAACAGCTCTTGGATTAGGCTGCTTCATCACCTCCACCAACACTCCCATGACAGTGATGACCATCACACTACCATCACCACCCCCACTCTCCTGCTCTACTTACCACCACTTCTTGTTGGGATCATCCCTCTAGGATAAAAACTTCCAAGGGGAATAACTAAGTGGAAGTATAGGTATGTTGTTTAAGGATTTGATAGCTGTACCAAGAAGCATTTCCACCAACCTCATAAAAGAGGGCCAGAGCCACTTCTAGGTGGCAAAAGCGCTACCAGCAATACAGTTCAATTAAAAATCAACCAAAAGGAATACTGCTGCGACTGCGCGCTTCAGTCATGTCCGACTCTGCGCGATCCCATAGACAGCAGCCCACCAGGCTTCCTCGTCCCTGGGATTCTCCAAGCAAGAACAGTGGAGTGGATTGCCATCTCCTTCTCCAATGCATGAAAGTGAAAAGGGAAAGTGAAGTCGCTCAGTCGTGGCCGACTCTTAATGACCCCATGGACTGCAGCCTACCAGGCTCCTCCGCCCATGGGATTTTCCAGGCAAGAGTAGTAGAATGGGTCGCCACTGCTTTCTCTGGAAGAAATACAAGTTGGTCACAAAGTTGATTCAGATTTTCCATGTTACTGAAAAACCCAAATGAACTTTTTGGCCAACTCAGTACACTGAGAAACTAAACAGGGAGTTCTCTGGTGATCTAGTGGTTAGGATTCCACACTTTCACTGCACTGGACTGGATGCAATCCCTAATCAGGAAACTGAGATCCTGCAAGCTGCATGGTACAGCCAAAAGTTTTTTAAAAATCTTTTTTAAAATGCTAATGCTGGATTTCCATGGTGACACAGTGGATGGGAATCCGCCTGCCAGTGCAGGGGATGCAGGTTCAATCCCTGGTCAGGGAAGAATCCACATACCTGGGAGCAGCTATCCCATGTGCCACAACTACTGAGGCCCCACTCTTAAGAGTGGGTCTGCAGTAACTACTGATGCCCCCATACTGTCCAGAGCCTGCACTCAACAACAAGAGAAGTCACTGCTCACCGCAACTAGAGAAAGCCCTCACAAAGCAGCAAAGCAACGAAGACCCAGCACGGCCAAAAATAAAATAAATATTAATTTTAAAAAAGATTTTAAGAAAATGCTAATGCTTAAATAGAGCACTTAACACATACCATAGCTGAGGCAAGGGTTTGCAGTGCTTCAAAACAAACCTTTGAGGTAGGTTCTGCTTTACAGATGGAATAATGAGACCCAGGTATGTCAAGACACTAGCTCAAGTTCAGATAAGACACTCAGAGGTCAGATAAAGCTTTCTGAGACTACACAGCAAGCTAGCGGCAGAGCAAGGACAGGAACTGATGTTTGTCTCCCCTTCTCCTGCCAAGGAGATTCTCCCCTTTCCTGCACCCCTGGAGAACTGCCAGGGGTCCCTGAGAAAGCAGAGATGGGGAAGTGCGAAAGGGATGCCTCCAAGGGAGCAGGCAGCGGGAGAGGGCTGGGAAAAGGGGCTTCCGGGGCTACCGGGTCGCCATAGCGAGTGTGATGCAATGACGCCCATCGCTGCGTCAAAGGGCGGCTCCGGGGATGCGGGCACTGCGGCAGAGCTGGTCCCCACCGCCCGCGCCCACCTCGCCCCTGCAGCCTGCCGCGGCTAAGCCAGCAGGCAATCGCTGCTGCTAACCTTCCTCCGGCATCAGGACCACCGCCTGGGACGTCCAGCGACCCCTGAAAACCTCTCTGCCACAGGTGACCCCTGACAACCACGCCCAGGTACCAGCCGTCCCAGACAACTGCTCCAAGCCATCGGTAACCCCTGACAACCGCCACCAGCCACCCCCACCCCCACCCTGGTCCCCGGGCGCACCATGAAGTCGACGGTGGGCTTGCGTCGTGGTGGGTCTGGCGGCCGTGGAGGTGGCGGCTGGGGCGGAGGGCGCGGGGGCGGAGGCGGAGCGGGCAAGGGAGCAGGAGGCGACGGCGGCGGCCCGGGAGGCAAGGGCGGCTTCGGGGCGCGGACGCGCGGCTTTGGTGGCGGCCGACGGGGGCGCGGTGGCGGCGGAGGAGACGGCCGGGGGGACCGCGGAGGCGGCGGGCAGCTGCGCGGCGTGACCAAGAGCAAGAACCGCCGCAGGAAGAGCGTCTTGACGGTGTCGGTGGAGCCTCACCGGCACGAGGGCGTCTTCATCTACCGCGGGGCGGAGGACGCGCTGGTCACGCTGAACATGGTACCGGGCCAGTCGGTGTACGGCGAGCGGCGGGTCACGGTGACCGAGGGTGGCGAGAAGCTGGAATACCGCACGTGGAACCCCTTCCGCTCCAAGCTGGCCGCGGCCATCCTGGGCGGGGTCGACCAGATTCATATCAAGCCCAAGTCCAAAGTGCTGTACCTGGGTGCCGCCTCGGGGACCACTGTGTCCCACGTCTCCGACATCATCGGCCCTGACGGCCTGGTCTACGCGGTCGAGTTCTCCCACCGCGCCGGCCGCGATCTCGTCAACGTGGCCAAGAAGCGAACCAACATCATCCCGGTCCTCGAAGATGCTCGGCACCCGCTCAAGTACCGCATGCTTATCGGCATGGTGGACGTGATCTTCGCCGACGTGGCGCAGCCGGACCAGTCCCGCATCGTGGCTCTGAACGCCCACACCTTCCTGCGCAACGGGGGCCACTTCCTCATCTCCATCAAGGCCAATTGCATTGACTCCACCGCGTCAGCCGAGGCGGTGTTCGCCTCTGAGGTGAGGAAGCTGCAGCAGGAGAATTTAAAGCCTCAAGAGCAGCTGACTCTGGAGCCCTACGAAAGGGACCACGCTGTGGTGGTCGGGGTCTATCGGCCCCTTCCTAAGAGCGGCGGCAAGTAGCCACCCAGCTCGGGTGGTCCCTGAGATGTGCCCAAGACTGTACTGTGCTCAGTGTTACTGTATATTTTCTTCGTGCACTGTTTTTCTATTAAATGACATAAAGAAACAGTACCCAGGTGTATCAGTGAGGCCACACTGAGTTATCCCCACACCTCCAAATCCCCCAAACCCTAAAATAGCTAAGATACCTGGTGAAAGGGGTCCATCAAGGAACAACAGCTTGGGGACTGTGCTTACTCCAGCCACTCAAAATCCTGACTGTTCAGGGCCCCTCCTCACATGTACTTCCTCATCACAGGGGCTGGGGAAATGAGCTTATAAAGTTATCTTTGGAAGTGGGGTGGAGTTGGGGGGACACTTCCTACACATTGACCACATCATGTGACCAAGCCTGACTCCCGGGAGTGACACTGGGTACTGACACTGGGACTAACACACCCCATCTGTCTGACTCCAAGCCAGAGTTCTAATCATAATAAATAGTGACTACTTTCCCTCCTCAGGCTCACTGTTAAAGAATCCGCCTGACAATGCAGGAGACGTGGGTTCAGTCCCTGAGTCTGGAACATCCCCTGGAGAAGGAAATGGCCGTCCAGTTCAGTATTCTTGCTTGGGAAATCCCATGGACAGAGGAGCCTGGTAGGCTACAGTCCATAGGGTTACAAAAGGGTCGGATATGACTAAGCAACTAAACAACAACAACTTTCCTCTTCAAATAAGACCTTTTGCATTTGCTGTTATGTGTAATGGGGCTTCTTAGGTGGCTCAGTGATAAAGAATCTGCCTGCCAATGCAGGAGACCTGGGTTCAATCCCTTGGTCGGGAAGATCCCTTGGAGAAAGGAATGGCAACCCACATCAATATTCTTGCCTGGAAAATTTCATAGACAGAGGAGCATAGCAGACTACAGTCCATGGGGTGGCAAGGAGTTGGACATAACTGAGTGACTGAGCACACAGCATGTAGTGAGAATGCCAGCCCCAAGATGGCTTTGTAACCATTACCTTTTTACACAAGAGGCAACAGAGCTTCTGAAGGTAAACTGGTTGCTCAAGTTTGCACAGCCAGATGGAACTCAATTGCCGTCTTTGGAGCTCTTTATCCATTGCTATTTCTTGTACACCAGTAGGATCTTACCTCGTCCCCACAGGGCCCATGCTAAAGAGATTGCACAAGTCCTAACACAAAAACACGGATCAGGACTCTCTTGATTTCTTTTTTCTTTCTCTCCCTCCTGATGATACCCTTTACTTTTTTTTTGGCCATGCCATGTGGCTTGTGGGAATCTTAGTTCCGAGGCTACGGATTGAACCTGGGCCCTTGGCAGTGAGAGTGTGGAGTCCTAACCACTGAACCACCAGGGAATTCCCCCTTTTCTTAGATTTCAAAATAGTAATACAGGGTATGGAGGTAGGCTGTGAGTCCACCTAACAAAGTATTCCCAATGCAAGGCATAACACATTCAAAGTGGCATCACCAAGGGTCTGAGAAATAACCAGGAAAATGACTCTCAGAAAGTACCTGTCTCTGAGAGGCATTTCCTGCAGACCTGAAGTTCAGTACATCAATTCTGGCTCTCCACATCAGCCCAAAGGGAGCAGGAGAGTGAACAATCCCAGGAGAGCTGTGAATGTTCCAAATCATGCTTTTAAAAGCCCTTTTATTTATTCATTCACTCATCCATTCAAGAACTCCCCACTGCCAATTGCCAAGGTCCTGGACATTTCATCCAAGAATGACTGGTCCCTAAAGCATCATTTAGAAAGCGGGTCCACCTTCCTAAAGGTGTGTTCACACAGAGACTATGGGTAGTCTGCGTTTTCTGAGGACACACTTCCTTCACACAGGAAAAAATAAATCAGATTTTTAAATGGCAGCCACCCCTCTGCTCCTCCCCTCCACTTCCCTATCTCACACACACACACACACACACACACACACACACACACACACACAGTACAATGCAGGGGGAGAGCTACCGTTCAGATTTGTTGGCCAGACTGACTCAGGAAGAAGAGGGTGAATACAGTAAATGTCTGCAGAACCTCAAACCAGGCATTTCCATAAACAATGTGAACTCTTCATTAAAACCTTGCAAAGCCAGGATCATTTCTATTTAACAGATGAGGAAACTGCAGTTCAGAGAGATGACATGACTTGCTTAAGGTCCTCCAGTAAGACTCACAGCCAGAAACCAAACCCACAGGAATCTGACTCCAAAATCACTGGCCTTTCCACTGAGGTCTGTGCTGCTTCCTCTACTTTGAAAAGCCCTTTCTACAATCCTAAGCTAATGGATTCATGGCTGAGATGAAACCTGGAGGCTGAAAAAAATCAGGGAAAGAAAAAAAGAGGACTTCCTTGCTGGTCCAGTGGGTTAAGACTCTATGCTTCTGCCACAGGGGGCACAAGTTCAATCCTTAGTCAGGGAACCCCACATGCTGGGTAGAGTGGCCAAAAAAAGAGAGAGAGAGAAAACCCTCAGGCTGAGAATGGACTCCCAGGAAACAGGATGATTACTTCCAGAACCTTGAGGGGTCCAGTCCTTCCTCAGAATCAGCTCAGCCTCGATAAGGAGCTTTTAGAGCCTCCGTACAGCGTTTCTGTCCTTCCAGATTGAGGACAGGGCAGGTGAACCTTGGCCTCTTTCCTTGGTGTGAGCATTCCCACATATACACAAACAATTTATAGTTCATGTGTGAAGCTGCTTGACATGGGACCATCAGTGGAGAAATGGCATTTAAAAAAAAATCCTCATAAAGAATGTCTCTGAGCCGCAGATTGGTCTTTGGGCAAATGGGATGAGACAGTAAGTCCCAGGAGAAATATAGGAACAAGGACTAAGGGAATGTAGGGAGGGAAGCTGAAGCCTGGTTTTGGAGGATAATGGCAAGAAGGAAGTATGGGACTGTAACTCCCGTGGCCGGAGGTTCAGGACACAGGTAGCACCTGACTTGCTTGGGTCCCCAGAAGGCATTAAATTTGGGGTGCTTAGGAGTCTTAGACTGTTGAGGCTGTATAACAAAATACCATGGTCTGCGTGGCTTCAATAGACATGTACCTTCTCCCAGTTCTGGAGGCTGGAAGCCCAGGGTCAAGGTGCCAGCAGGGTTGGTTTCTGGTGAAGCATCTCTCCATGGCTTGTCAAGGGCTGCCTTCTCCCTAGGTCCTCACATGGTCTCTTCTGTGAGTGCGCAAGGGAGATGAGAGAGAGAGGGGAGGAGGGTGGGATCTCTAGTCTCTTCCTCTTTGTAGGAGCATTCCAGCCCCATCAAATTACAGCTCCACCCTATGACCTCCTGGAACCCTAGTTACCTCCATAAAGTCCCCATCTCCAAATACAGCCATATTTGAGGGTTAGGGCTTCAACGTTTTAATTTGGGGAAACACAATTCGGCCCATAACGCTAGGGACTGGATAGGAACTTTCTGTCAAAATGCCTGTCTTATTGGCTTCTAGGAAATGATTGTGAAAAGCAGTGCACAACTGAAGTACCTGCACAGAGCTCTGCACATTATCCCTTCCTNAGAAAATACTGAAATGGAAATGTTCAGATTAATCTTGGCTGTAAAATGAATACTGGTGTCAGCACCATTCGAAACGTCTGTGTTGCTGGAGTGATAGAGTGTGTAAGAGCCCCTGACTGGTGACCTGCCCCCTTTTCTTCCCACCCCTGGTTCTGCCCCCACACCCTGAAGGAATGCACACATATGTCTGTAAATAGACTCCCAGCTCTCAAATCCAAGATTTGATCCTGCCCCTCAAACAGCCTCCTTTAAGCCCCTTGGGCTGGACTTGCAAACTGGGACAATGGTACCCTCAGGAGGACTGGCCTGGGGAAGACTTGGCCCCGATGCATGATCTAGAAGGTGGGGGCGTGGGCTCCTGGGGGCACGGCACTCAGCCACTATGGACACCTTGCCCTGTTGGCCAAGGTGCAGACAGAGAGGAAGGCCAGAGTGCAGCCCTCAATATGTGGGGCTCTGGACTGGGGCCCTGATTACTCAGATCTGAGAGCGGCCCCTCCACCAAATTGAATGTGTTCCTCCTTAAGGAGGCAAGTCTAACTCTTTCTTCCTAGTAGTCTTTCCTGGCTCAAGGGCTCACAGGAAATTCCTCTTGATTCACATTCTGATGGAGACAACATTTACTGAGCATGTGGTATGTTCCAGGTACTTCTAGACACTTTGTTTCACTTAATCCTCATAGCACCCCCCCGGGAGGCAAGGGTTATCATTCCCACATCACAGATGAGGAAGTTGAGGGTCAGGAAAGCGACAGGAATCACCCAAGGCTCGACAAAGCTGGAGAATAGGAGATCTGTGAATACATATAGGAATACGATAGGAGATCTGGGAATAGGAGTGCTGGAGAATACAGTTGTGAAAAACTGTATTCTTTCTCTAAGTCAGTGAAATTAAAACCAGACGCTCCAGGGGAAAGAAGACCTGGCATCTGTTTTCAGTAAGTCCCCAGCTGATTCTAATGTGCGTCCAGGGCTGACACGACTATTTTATCCCATACCGTTCTTGCTGTCGATTGGGAAAGGCAGAATTAGGACAGCACTTTGAATCACTGGAAGATGACAGCTGAGCTTTTCTGCGGGGTCTCCATGACGGCCCAGGAGACCCCTTGAGATTCCTAGGAGGAGACGGGTTGGAGTCTGTGGATGAAGTTACTGGTGTTCCTGCCTCTTTAGTCCCTGATTGAGGACTGCCTGCTAATCTCCCAGCTCAGCTGGGAGAGGGAGCTGAGCTGCCAGGTGTGGGAGGAATTCAAAAGGCAAGGAGTCAAAAATGAGAGACTTAAGTCTTTAATCACTTCTGTGATGGAATGGGCACTTGTGGTAAAGAAACTGCCTGCCAATGCTGGAGATGTGAGAGATATGGATTTGGGAAGATTCCCCTGGAGGAGGACATGGCAACCCACTCCAGTATTCTTACCTAGAGGGTCACGGTCCACAGGGTTGTAAAGAGTCAGAAACAACTGAAGTGACTTCACACGCAGTGTGATGGAATAAGCAAGCAGCTAAAATTCGAGAAAGTGCCAGCTCCCCTGTTCCACATTCCCCCATGGAAAGGCACCCCACCTGAGAGTCAGGGGCATCAGAGCTACATGGGGATGTCTTACTGCTGAAGGCGTCCTGGAACCAAAGGCTCCAGCATTTTACGGATCCTGACACCGCTGGTGAGGGGACGAGGGGGAAAGTCTGGGAGTGGAAAAGTTTTCAAGATTCTCCCCTTCGCTCATAAGGAAGTAGAGGTCCTCAGATAGAAAACTATAAGGGACTTACCTGGTGGTCCAGTGGTTAAGACCAGCACTTCCAGTGCAGGGGGCAAGGGTTCAACCCCTGGTCGGGGAACTATAAGATCCCACATGCCACTCACATTTAACAAAAAACAAAAAACCATTTTGGAATGAAAGTGACAGATAGGAATGGCCCTAAGTCTTTGACTGCAACGCCCTTCAGAAACAGAAGTTTGCAGGCTATGCCCCAGGTCTGATGAGGGGAGGGCAGCTTCCTCGCTTGTCTCACCAGGTATTCTGGATAAAGCCTTCTTAATTGCCTGGGGTCAGGCCTGAAAAATCAATCACACATCGATCCTTAACCAGAAGCTGATTCTGCAATGCCTATATCCTCATCCAAACTCTGAATAGTTTTCCCAGTCTTTCCTGTTTCTTGAGCAAAAGCATTTGGGGTTTTTTTTCCCCAAAAACTTACCTTTCCATTTTTCTTCTATTTCCACTCCCTGGGGGCCAGCAAGTCCCACATCACCAGCTATGGCTCCAGGCCCACTGCCTCCAACCGAGCCTCTGCCTGGAGAACTTGGGTGCCTAAGAACATCACACAGGAATTCTTGCTGTGCGCAGTAGCTGTTGAGCATGGCAGAACACAGAAGAGCTGATGTAGTTTTTATGGAGCATATCTGACTTTCTTACTTTTCATGTGATTTCAATCTTCCCCCACTTTTCCTCCCCACTTGTTTGTCCACCTCAATGCCTTCAGGGACCTGAAGTCCAACAATCATTCAACCCCTTGAGGGCTTCCAACTGTCTCACCCACCATCTTTTCACCATCCTTTCAACTCCCTTGCTCAAGTCTTCACTTCCCTATTTACTGATTTCATGGTCTCTAATCACTTCCTCTCTTAAAGTACTGTCCCTGTCTGCATTTCTGTTGGCAAACTGGCCAATTCTTTCCTGAACCTGTTTCTCGTAGTAAATTATCAAATGGAAACAGCTGCCAGTATATGCTACTAACACTCTTTTTTTTTTCCATTTATTTTTATTAGTTGGAGGCTAATTACTTTACATCATTGCAGTAGTTTTTGTCATACATTGAAATGAATTAGCCATGGATTTACATGTATTCCCCATCCCGGTCCCCCCCTCCCACCTCCCTCTCCACCCGATCCCTCTGGGTCTTTCCAGTGCACCAGGCCGGAGCACTTGTGCTACTAACACTCTTATCCAACTTCTCCTAAGGTCACACATTCAATGGTATGTTACCTACCTTCCAAGTTGTCGGGTGACCAAAGGTTCACTTCTTCACAAGATCAATCACCATCCTTCCATCCTTTGATAACAGTTTCTTTGCCACCTGCTGCCAGTCCCTAATCCAGCGCCTCAAGTTTGTTTAGGTTTCTGTTCAATAGCATTTACTGCTGGTACCAACATGTATATCAGTTGGGATGGGTATTTCAGATGGCTTATGTCATGGCAACAAATGCCCAAAGTCTGTGCCTAAATGACCAGTTTGTTTTCTTCCTCATACTACACTACCTTCATTACTTTGTGAGGGGTTGAGGGAGAGGTTTAGAGGGGTGACTAATTTAATTTTAGTCACTTAAGGATCTAGGCTAAGAGACCAGCCACCATCTTGAATACTGTTGGCTGTCAAGAGAGAAAAGATGGCTCCAGAAGGTCTCAGACTGGTGATTATGTGTTCTAGCCATGACGTGGTAGTTCCAACCACAACTCACTCACTAGTGGGCTAGAACCAGTCATATGAACCTTCTCAACCACAAAGGAGCCATATTGGTTGACAGTTTAAGAAATGAAAGCCTAAATACTATGATTATAAGCTATAATAGTATTTTTTTGTCTTAATATGGCACACGGTTTATGGTTTGCTGACAAGCTCATATGTGTTTTAAAATTTCTGTGCATACAGATGGATAATAACCAGCTTTGGCTAGTCAAATACAAGTTACTTGTTTACTCTGACACTGAAAGAAAAGGAAGATACTGCAAAACAGAATAAAGATCAAATTACAGATAGAGTTTTGGGGGTCTTCAGCACATGTGATAATTAAAGCCTGCAATAGATGAGTTTATCTATGTATAATTGTGGAGGAGAGAAGGACTTAGAACTGAGCTCTTAGGAGATCCACCATTTTGTGTTCTGATAGAGGAGAAGTACACAAAGGAGATTTACACAAAGCTTCTGGAACAATGTTGTGTCATGGAATCCAAAGGAAGACAGCATTTCAAGAAAGAGGAAGTGTCAGCTTTGCCAGATGCTGAGAAACCAAGGAAGATGACAGAAAGCACCTGATTAATTTGGCTTCATGGGTCACTGTTAGTGTTTGCAAGAACAGTGAAGTAGTCAGGGACAATCCATTTTAGAGAAGGTTGAAGATAAAAATAAGAAGTGAGGAAGTGAGTCAGTGAGAGCAAACTCTCCTAAAAATGTGATGAGGGGAAGAAATACAGTGAGAGGTGGAGGGACAGTTTTTGTTTTTTGACTTTGCATTGACAATGTAATCATTAATAGTGTGTCCCAGTGTGGTTGAGAAGTCGGCCTTTATTCTGGAGGTGCAGTTATCACGCAGAGACTGTTCAGATCAATATTATTTGATGAATCTGTGTTCCTGCAAGAAGGCAGCTCCCAATGGCACCATGGTTCAATCAGAATGTGGCAGAAATTGCTAGTTAACTCCAAATATCCATTTTCCCAGTCAGGTTAGAATTTTCAGCCAGGCACAGGGCCTCCCAAACTAAAGACAATTCCTCAGTCTCCCTTGTAATTATATATGATTAGGGGAATAAGTCCTAAACAATGCAAATAAGCAAGAGTATCCTGAAGCAGGGCTTCCCAGGTGGCTCAGTGGTAAAGAATCCCCCTGCTAACCAGAAGACGTGAGTTCGATCCCTGAGTCGAGAAGATCCCCTGGAGAGGGAAATGGCAACTCACTCCAGTATTCTTGCCTGGGAAATCTCATGGACAGAGGAGCCTGGCAGGCTACAGTCCATGGGGCTACAAAAGAGTAGGACACGACTTAGTGACTAAACAACAACAACAACGCCCTGTAGCAACTTCAGAGGACCTCCCTTAAGGAAGAGCTTACACGAGTCGTTTGACCCACTGTGTCACTCTCTTTCCGTGATGGGTGAAATATGGATAAGATAGTTGGAGCTGAAGAGCCATCTTGGGCCATGAGGCTACAGTTGACAGAGTAAAAAGCTAGAAGGGTCCAAAGTCTGTGTTGACTTCATAAAACAGAGTTCTATGGCAGCCCTAGACATCTGTGTCTGTTAATGTTACAAAATGTAACATTAATGCAAATTTTGTTAATGCAAAAGGAAAATAAGCATCTAGGTTAAGCCTCACCTTTTGCAGGTTACTAATATCCTTGCTGTGTGCTGGGCTTAGTTGCTCAGTTGTGTCCAACTCTTTGCAACCACCTGGACTATAGCCCGCCAGGCTCCTCTGTCCATGGAATTCTCCAGGCAAGAATACTGGAGTGGGTTGCCANCTCTGTCCATGGAATTCTCCAGGCAAGAATACTGGAGTGGGTTGCCACGCCCTCCTCCAGGGGGATCTTCCCAACCCAGGGATCAAATCCAGGTCTGCTCTGGGCGGATTCTTTACCATCTGAGCCACCAGGGAAGCCCAAGAATACTGGAGTGGGTAGCCTATCCCTTCTCCAGGGGGTCTTCCCCACCCAGGAATCATCTCCTGCATTACAGGTGGTTCTTCACCAGCTGAGCTACCAGGGAAGCCCACTTAGTCAAATCTAAATCTAATGAATATATACAAAGTCAGCAAGAAAAGTGCAGACTAATAAAATTGACAATCCATCCCTGAAATGAAAGCGGATTAAAAGTCACTGGAGAAAATTCTATTTAGAAAAAATAATACTGTTAATTTCAGACCACGGATACTGGTCAGGAGTCCTTGGTATTAAGAAGGAAATTAATAATATAAGTTTTCCATTTGCAACAACATGGATGGACCTGAACAGCATTATGCTAAAGTGAAATAAGTCAGATAGAGAAAGACAAATACTGTATGATATCATCTATATGTGGAACTTAAAATATACACGAACTAGTGAATACTACAAAAAAGAAGCAGACTCATATATAGAGAGAACAAACTAGTAGTTACTAGTAGGGGAGAACTTAGGTATGGGAGAGTGAAAGGCACAAACTATTAGATGTAAGATAGGCTACAGGATGTATTGAATAACACAAGGAATCAAGCCAGTATTTTGAAATAATTATAAATGGGGTGTAACAATTTTTTCTAAGAAAAAAAATTACAATTTTTAAGTAAATAAATTTTAAAAATTAAAAACAATATATAAAAATAAACTCAAAGTCGATTAAAGATCTAAATGTAAGACCAGATACTATAAAACTCCTAGAGGAAAACATAGGCAGAACAATCTTTGACACAAATTGCAGCAAATTTTTTGCATCCATCTCTTAAAGTAATAGAAATAAAAGCAAAGATAAACAAATGGGACCTAATTAAACTTCAGAGCTTTTGTACCAAAAAGGAAACTATAAAAAACAAAAAGACAACCTGTGGAATGGGAGAAAACATTTGCAACCAATGCGACTGACAAGGATTAATTTCTCAAATATACAAAGTTCGTACATCTCAATATCCAAAAAACAAACAATCCAATTAAAACATAGGCAGAAGACCAAAAAAATAAATAAATGAAACATAGGCAGGAGACCTAAATAGACATTTCTCCAGAGAAGGCATACAGATGACCAACAGGCACATGAAAAGATGCTCAACATCACTATTAGAGAAATGCAAATCAAAACTACAATGAGGTACTACTTCATGTCAGTCAGAATGACCATCATTAAAAGTCTACAAATAACAAATGCAGGAGAGGATGTGGAGAAAAGGGAGCCCTCCTATCCTGTTGACTGGAATGTAAATTGGTGAGGCCACTATAGAAAACAGTATTGAGCTTCCTTAAGACTCTCAAAATAGAGCTACTGTATGAACCAGCAATCTCATTCCTGGGCATATATCTGGAAAAGACAAAAACACTAATTCAAAGAGATACATACATCCTGATGTTTATACAAGTACTATTTATAATAGTCAAGATATGGAAGCAACCTAAATGACTGTCAACAGATGAATGGATAAAGAGGATGTAGTATATATATACAATAGGATATGGCTCAGCCATTAAAAAGAATGAAATACTGCCATTTGCAGCAACATGGATGGACCCAGAGATTTTCAAACTGAGTCATTCAAAGTCAAATATCATATGATATCATTTATATGTGGACTCTAAAAAAATGATACAAATGAACTTATTTACAAAACAGAAATTGACTCACAGACATGGAAAACAAATTTATGGTTACCAACGGGGAAAGGAGAGAGGATAAATAAAAAAGAAAATGAGAAGGAAATGGGAAATGACCATAATAGGAAGAAAATGTCACATGAGGAGATGTGGTCTGATATTATCCAGTTTTCCAAATTTACTGGCATATTGAGTGCAGCACTTTCACAGCATCATCTTTTAGGATTTGAAATAGCTCAACTGGAATTCCATCATCTCCACTAGCTTTGTTCATAGTGATGCTTCCTAAGGCCCACTTGACTTTGCATTCCAGGATGTCTGCCTCTAGGTGAGTGATCATACCATCGTGATTATCTGGGTCATGAAGATATTTTTTGTACAGTTCTGTGTATTCTTGCCACCTCTTCTTAATACCTTCTGCTTCTGTTAGGTCCATATGATTTCTGTTCTTTATTGAGCCCATCTTTGCATGACATTTTCCCTTGGTATCTCTAATTTTCTTGGTATCTCTAGTCTTTCCCATTCTATTGTTTTCCTCTATTTCTTTGCATTGATCACTGAGGAAGGCTTTCTTATCTCTCCTTGCTATTCTTTGGAACTCTGCATTCAAATGGGTATATCTTTCCTTTTCTCCTTTGCTTTTCGCTTCTCTTCTTTTCACAGCTATTTGTAAGCCTTCCTCAGACAACCATTTTGCCTTTTTGCATTTCTTTTTCTTGGGAATGGTCTTGATCCCTGCCTCCTGTAGGATATCACATACCTCCATCCACAGTTCTTCAGGCTCTCAATCAGATCTAATCCCTTGAATCTATTTGTCACTTCCACTGTATAGTCGTAAGGGATTTGATTTATGTCAATGAATAGTCTAGTGGTTTTCCCTAGTTTCTTCAACTTAAGTCTGAATTTGGCAATAAGGAGTTCATGATCTGAGCCACAGTCAGCTCCCAGTCTTGTTTTGCTGACTGTAAAGAGCCTCTCCATCTTTGGCTGCAAAGAATATAATCAATCTCATTTTGGTATTGACCATCTGATGATGTCCATGGGTAGAGTCTTCTCTTGTGTTGTTGGAAGAGGGTGTTATGACCAGTGTGTTCTCTTGGCAAAATTCTATTAGCCTGTGCTCTGCTTGTATTCCAAGACCAAATTTGCCTGTTACTCCAGGTATTTCTTGACGTCCTACTTTTGCATTCCAATCCCCACTAATGAAATGGACACCTTTCTTGGGTGTTAGTTCTAGAAGGTCTTGTAGTTCTTCATAGAACTGTTCAACTTCAACTTCTTCAGCATTACTGTTAGGGCATAGACCTGGATTACTGTCATATTGAATGGTTTGCCTTGGAAACGAACAGAAATCATTGTGTCACTTTTGAGGTTGCATCCAAGTACTGCACTTTGGCCTTTTTTGTTGACTATGATGGCTACTCCATTTCTTCTAAGTGATTATTGCCCACTGCTGCTGCTGCTAAGTCGCTTCCATCATGTCCAACTGTGCAACCCCATAGATGGCAGCCCACCAGGCTCCTCCTGGGATTCTCCAGGCAAGAACAGTGGAGTGGGATGCCATTTCCTTCTCCAATGCATGTGCTGCTTCAGTCGTGTCCGACTCTGTGCAACCCTATGGACAGCAGCCCACCAGGCTCCTCTATCCACAGGATTCTCTAGGCAAGAATACTGGAGTGGGTTGCCATTTCCTTCTCCATTTCCTCACCCACAGTTTTAGATATAATGGTCATCTGAATTAAATGCACCCATTCCAGTCCATTTCAGTTCACTGATTCCTAAAATGTTTATAGTCAGTCTTGCCATCACCTGTTTGAGCACACATTGGTGAGCAAAATATCCAGTCTAGAAAAACACATGTCACTTCACACAGTTCATCAGCCTGAATCAGTCACTCAGCCCTATTCAACCACATGGGAATCGGAAGGTACTGTGCCATCACATGTCCAGAAGAGATAAGAACTAGAAATATTTGGCAAAGAATTCTGACCCCCTCAACAAGAAACCCTGTGTCATGATGCTGAAGCAGTATCAGACTTGAGCTCTGGGCATGACTGTACCATGTATCACCTCTAAGAATGTATCTAGATACAAGTGCTCATCAATCATTTTGGGTATATTTCTTTCTGATGATTCATAGTCATGAAATATATTACATGCAGAGATTGCATAATGAATATTAAGTAATTGGTTGACTCAGTTATGAATTCAGCAATTCTTTTTAAAAGGAACTATTCCATTTTCCCTCTTGGATTATTCAAGTAATATGTTCTCGGCTAATTCATTTCAATGTATGACAAAAACCACTGCAATGGTGTAAAGTAATTAGCCTCCAACTAATAAAAATAAATGGAAAAAAAAATAAAACATGAACTAAAAAAAAATTAATAAATAAAATAGAGTAATATGTTCTCATTATTAAAAAAAAATTGGAAAATAATGGAATACTCAAAAGAAGAGGGAGAAATCACCCATAATTTCACCTTCCAAAAATAGAGTTACTATTTTAGTAGAATTCCTTCCAAATTTTTTCTATTTTTAAAAACTAGCTGGCATGGTCACCAAA